ACGACTTCGCTCTCCTCGACGCCATCCTTTCTTCCATTCCTCCACCTTTGATAGGGCGCCGTACCACAAACTGAAACCCTTGCGCAAGCCTCACCGCTGCCATACCCCTCATCACCGCCAACGCCCATGCCCTCCGCCACTCTTCCAGGTTCCCTTTCGCCATCGGAGGCTTCACAAGGAAACTCTTCATCTCCCCCGGGTCTACAACAAAGTCATACGAAAACACATCATACAGCGATTCAAGTTCTGCGTTGGTGGGGAGGTACTCGACAGTGAGTGGGAGGCACACCGGGACGGCCTTGGTTTTCCACTTGATCTCGTGTTTCGTAAGGACTTGCGGGAACATGTGCTGCCACCGCCTCGCAAGGCTCGATTGTGAGTACGGGATGGAGGATTGTGGTTGTGAGGGGTTGCCAATAACCCCAGGGGAAAATGAGGTGCCGGAGGGAGAGTGAACGGAGGCGGCGCTGCGGCGTTTGACGAAGGTCGCCTCGTCGCGTGGAGGAGTACCGACAGGAGAACGGCGGGGAAAGGCGATGCGTTGGGGGAGGAGCGTATCGTCTTCAAAGGTGCGTCCTGTGCTTGGGCGAGTGGAAGCAGCGGACTTTCGGATGGCAACGGGCATAGGCGAGCTGACTAGAGGGGAGCGGCTCACTTGTGCCGTCAAGGGCTGGGAGAGGGGCATACAGATTGGGGAGGAATGTACTGGAGTCAGATTAGGTTTTAATGTTGACTTGTCCTTGTCCTTCTCTTGTTTCTCCTTCTCTTGTTGAGCAAAAGCAAGGGTTGATGAAGAGGCAGAGGCCGAGATAGGTGAGGTCTGTGCTCCACTGGGCTGGCTTCGGAAAGGGTTAAAGAGCCACGAGGGGGCAAGTTTGGATGCTAAAGTGGCCTTGGGAGCAGCGATCTGAGATGTACGTGTCTTTGAAGACGAGGCGGAGAGGTTAGAACGCAATGACATGATAGAGGACTGGGAGGGTGATTTGCTGACTCCGCTGAAAGTTACCGTTCCAGCTTTCAACTTGCCTGGCGAGTCTTCAGGCGGAAGGTCGACAAAAACTCGCTTCGGGCTTTCTTCAATTGGATCTATCTTTCCAGTCATAGAATTCCTATGTAGAGAGCGCTTTTCAACAGGAAGTCGGTATGTCATTCCAGCTGAAGAGTTGCTTGTGGTGGAGGGGATGGAATCCCGAGTGATATTGACGACCTTCGATTCCGGCCGCAAAGCAAAGATGTCCATATCGAACTTGTCAGCATCTGCTTGCGATGGAAAGTTGTCCTCTACAACTTCCTGAGGTGGGGTCAATGAAGACACCTCGTTGCTGTTCTCAGGCAAAAGAGGGATTTCTATGCTCGAGAGCACATCGAGTTCGAGCAGGCCGAGCATCTGGATCTGTCCCATCCTAGCGCGTCCTATGAATCTGGACAATTTCTTCAATCAAAAGTCACACGAAGAACATAAGAGAATCCTTACCGGTCGCTTCTAAAAGGCAAATCCAACTGCTTGTCCCAGAACGTCATAGACACCCAAAACGGCTCCCACCAGAACGTCTTCATCTCTCCATCCTTCTCTACAGGGCCCCAAAGAGGATCTAACACTTGAGTGGCACTCTTCCCATCGAGCATAGTTTCCTGCTTGGGCTCAGTGCTGCGGAAACTGAAGACAGGACTCTGGTGCAATGGCTGCTTCGTGAGGGACACGAGTTGGATCACAAACCCTTGGTCGAGTATGCGCGTAGTGGTCAGCCGGAGGAGGTCCTTAGACACCTTGAAGTATCCTGAGCCAGGTGTGACGATGATCGTCGTTGCTCCAGTGAGTGACAGTGAACGGTCGATGTAATGTGTCTCGGTTGGGTTTAATGCGAGGTTGATCGCCTCGAGTATGGGTGCATCGTGAGCGTATGATATACGCCCAATCAAGCGCACCTGTGCAGGAGGACCAATTGTCGATGCATCCAGTGTTGACTGGTGGTAATGATGCGTGAGGAGGATATCCCGTTGGAAGTCCCAAAATGAGTCTTTGAGGCTCACAAGTGTGGGCTTCCACTCGTTTATCACCTCGAGATCGGTGATGACCTTGAAAAAGTCTTTGTACCATTTGCCGTGGTCGTCCTGACGCATAGGACCCGCGGCGTAGTCGATTTCAGACTCCTCGTAGAAGACGCGTGAGATGAGGACGATGGTGACAGTATGGTTTGTCCCTGCTTCGCGATATTTTTGAAAGAGGGCGGGGAGGAAAGAATGAACGACCTTTTCGTAGTAGCGCTCTCCGTCGCCAGCAAATTCCCATAGTTCACGGCAAACTTGGATGAAGATCGTTATCCTTGCGGAAAGGGACTTATAGATGGCCTTCGTAGCCGATGTAACGCATGCAGACGACACCTAATATCTCGTCAGCGATTCATATGGGCTTGTGTGAGAAAGGCTCACAGATTTTCCACCTATATAGGTATTCTGTATTTTGGCTGCAACGCTACCAACAAAGGTAATTTGTTGGTCAGTATAGACGCACTGACCAACAAGGTCTTTTCCTAATCTCCACATGTCATTGCGTCCAAGATACTGGTCCTGGAAGACGAATTCAACGTATTCCGCGCAACAATTCTGCTTATCGACCTGTAAGAAAGCATTGAGATAGAGGGAGAATGACAGCTAGATGTTCATCCTGACCTTGGTAATAGTCACTTCCGAATTATTACGCAGCCTAAAAGTATCCGCAATGGGCTTTGGTATAGAAATCTTTGACGCGTCATATCAGCGTCATTCCTTCCCCGAAGTTGCTAGAAACTTTACTGACCTGTAACTGAGGCTTTGCGCACCCATCGTCCTTCGGTACGCAAAAAAGAAACGCGAATTCTGGACCATCCGCGTTGGCGCCCATCACGCGTAATAAGTCTCCTTCCGCCACACCCGGCCACCACGACTGATTGAAAATGACTTTGGCATCGTCCTTCGGGTCATGCACCCACGTATTGAGCACCTTAGAGTCTCCAAACTTAAGAGGAGCAACGGGAGTTGGTCGTAAGATGGACTGGGTGGTGTTGGAGCGATTCCGACGGGAAAACTGGGGCTGTTGCGACTCTGCCCTCGAGGTCGTCATCGTAAAGGAAATGGAGTCAAATCATAGAGACATTGAGGACACTTGCAACAACAGGCTGAAAAGTGCTGAAGCAAATGTTGAATTGAGATAGAAATCGACAATATCAACAACGTCCAACAGCAGCAACTCTGTTCATCGACCACTGTCCCTCCAACAAACACACAAATTGCCAGTTTCTTACCAACTCCTGTATATATCTCTTATCGTCACACGATGTTTCGGATATGCTGTTATCAAGCCCACGTTGTAACCTCCATCTATCTGGTAAGTAGAGCAATTGCTGTCACGCAGTTCTGGAAATTCAAACATCGTGGCCTTTAGGAGCTTGAAGGAGTTCCAGTGTACATAATTCTCGGGACAACCATGTCAAGCCGTACCGCAATGCAACCACACGATCTTCCCGATTCTTTCACTTCCATCCGATTGTGGGAGCCTTCACCGGCAGTATCTTGTCTGCCAATAAGTCGGTGTGGCAGCTGGGACTTCGGGCCTTCCATGCTCACTGTATCCTGAAATCGGACCCTGGTGGTCTGATTTACCTTCAATGGCTCTCTTGAGCCGATCCCCGTTTCAGGGTGTTCCTCATCGAGGCCATATTTCGATAACGCGAAATAGAGCTTCGCTAGATACTGTGGTGCTGTAATTTCCTTCGCGCCGCTGTCGCGGCTCCATGCTCATACTGATTTGCGCTAGAAGAATTGACGAGGCAGGTAGTTATATGTATATAATCTCACTCTGCACGTCCTGCTTTCCTCCTGTGGCTAGTTCCGAGATCTCACCTGAGCATCTGATATTTTGTGCTTGCGCCCTTTGGCCGTTCCTTTACCACCAGATGCCAAGTGAGCGGTTCTTAGTCCGTGAAACGGATGTTTCGTGAATCGTTCGTTTATCTATCGGAACCTGGTTCGATTGGTGCACATCAGAAATGGGAAGTACCTATGTTATATAGAGATCTTCGTACCGTCATTGACGTGAATCTTTCTCAGAGTACCAGGGTTCCGTCCACGTTTCCTAGCCTTGAGGGTCATCATGATGGTGAATACTTATTTGACATTTCCTTGTTTGATACTCGTTGCTTACCACTGTATATATTTACATATTATCTTGATTTGCTTTGTCCTTAAGTTTCGCCAAAACCGCAGAATTACATCTTTATGAATTAAGCAGATGTCGAGGACTTGGTGAATTCAAAGCACATCATTATCATACCCGACGTTCATGAGTACTCCTGCATTTAATACATTGAGGCCCAGGTCTTATCTGAGCAGCACCATTGCATCAACCTTACCCTTGAACATTTAGTTTTAGGCCCGGGATTTTCATGTATTACCCGACTTGTACATCTCTCGTGATTGAGCAGAACCCCTTATCGATATCGCTCAATAATATTAAAATTGCAAATCAGCAAGACCGGCTCGGAATCTGCTGACCTCTGCTCACCATCGGCCGATAGGGCTGGTGAATGCATACAAAGGTTTCAACGACAGTACCTGGAGAGGAACCGACTCAAGAACTAATTGAAGATATCGTAAGGGACCTTGATGAGATAGATTGTCCAAGTCGAACTTGGCCACGTCTTGTCGGTTTGGCGTTCGATGGTAATTGGTTAACAAGTATGCAAAGGACAGAAACCAAAGCTACCGCTACTTTCCTTTTATGTGACCAATTTTTTATTCATACCGATTTTTGAGGCTGTCCGCAGCTTGATTTACTACATAAAATCTCTTAAAGTTCACACCTAAGGATACAAATGCGAGAGATATGAGATCGCTTCAATCTCTGCAAATCGAACACCTCGTCGAGACAGTCCAAAAAGAGTGGGTAAATTTGAACATGACACGTGGCCAATCTGGTGCAAGACAAAGAAAGATTGCAAAGATGACAAGTAGTATCATTCTATAGCCCACCGCGAGGGTCGAACTCGCGGCCTTCAGATGTAACCCACCTAAGAGTCTGACGCTCTATCCGATTGAGCTAGGCGGGCCACATTTGTCAAAAGCCTAAAATATTTGACGCGATTGAAGTGGCGCTTCTAAGAAGAAGAAAATAACGATTAGAAGGAAACAATCAATAGCCCACCGCGAGGGTCGAACTCGCAGCCTTCAGATAATTATGAAGACACTTTCTTAAAAGTCTGACGCTCTGGCCGATTGAGCTAGGCGGGCTGTAAGAGCGCTAAATTAGACTATAGCACGTCGT